ATCTTACACATTCTGAAAACAGGATTATTATTCTTAATTAGTTCTTGTTTAGTAAATCAGACTCAAAACAAGATCAAAAATACTTTTTGGCTGATATTAGATTTTAATACTTGGTTAGGTGGACATTTTTTGCAGTGCATATTTATCACATCCTTTAATCATGCAGGGTTAATTAATTAATACATTAATTCAATTGCAAACTGTTTAAAAACAAATAAATGATCTTCTCTTTGCCTTGTGATTTGAAACTAAAACCTATTTCATGTTTTTGTTAAAAAAAAATGTGTGTCCACACAGTCAGGACATCTGATTAAAGAACTTAAACCCCTAATAGTTTATTTTTTTATTATTATTCCTTCATTTTCTGTGATTCAGTGGATCAACAYGGAGGCAGCTGTTTATTTTGACAGTAAAGCTGAACTCACCAAAGACCATAGTTTCCACTTTCAAAATTAAATCAATTTTTTTTTTCCTGTAAGTGTCAAAAAATGCACCAACATTGAAACAGCTTTGCGTGTCACTGTCAGGTGACCGTGTAGAAGAAAACAGATGTGACAGCGACAGGAGCGAAACAAGAAATTTATTTTTAAAAAGCAGCAAAAATCCAAAAGAAAACTTCAAAAACCTTTAAAAAACCCCAGAGAGCTGCTGAGGAGCATCTTAAACGATCACAGGAAAGTGACTGCTTGGACAGAAACATGGAGTGGCTCAAAACTTTTGCACGAGACGCAGATCAATTGGAATTAGCTCACTAGAAGATGCTGTTAAAGTCTAACACTACTGGTCTTTTTAACACTTTGTAAAATGTGTGTGTACGTTTTTTTTTTAACCTTCTTAGGACCGTTTTCTGGTGCAAACACGTATCCAGTCAGGACCAGTCGTGCTTTTAGGAAATCACATGGAATATGATGGAGCACCACCGGTGGGTCAGGGGTTAGGTTTATCTGCACAAATKAATAGAAATCAATACACGGTCCTAATAAGGATAGAGATACAAAAGTGTCTGGATGATATTCCTCCTGTGCCTTAAAGTGCAGCAATCAGCTGGTGTGCCTTAAATCATTTTAATTCRATCTAAACAAATTTTCTCTTGGTGTTCATCAGCGAGCTCGTTTTAAACTGTTTTTTATCACTGCAGAGCTCACTGATGACACGGATTTAAAACTGATTTTATGCAAATGTTATTGTTTTCTGAGTTTTTAAATGTTGCAAGTTGGTTTGTGTCAGAGGAGACTTTGGGAAATGTTTTTATGCAAGTAGAATAAACTGGTCTTAAAAGTGTTTTCTATATGTTTGAAATCATTACTTTGACTTCCTGAATGTTTTATTTATTTGAAAATAAAGAGAATACTGACATTTTTTCTGTTTTTGTCAACTGATTCACTTATTGTTTTATTTTAGGATTTTTCATAATTTTATCTTGACATTTCTCAAAATATTCAACATAAAATCCGATGCAGTTCTCTGTTTTTTTTTAAACGTCATTCAGGATCAGGTTTGTGGCAAAGCAAAGTGTTGTAGAAGAATTACTTGTACACTTCGCTTAAAGTGAGACTGAGACACTAGATAAGCGACTTTTAGGTTCAGCTTTTAGCTAAGAATTATTTTACACTTAGGTTCATTCTTAAGAGTAATTCTAAAAAAGTTTGATAAATACAGGCCCTAGTTTTTATGAACACAGCTGCTGTGTTCAGCATCATCTAGTTTGGTCCAAGCTTCAGCTGGACCTCAGACTCTCGAATCCTTTATGGTTGTTTTTTACTAAACATGGAGCATTATGAGTAAACATCTATAGATTGGTCTCGTGTCTCCATAGTTCCAGAGATCCTGTGGTTCTTTTCAAACTTATTTCCTGCTACCATGTATTTTTTGAGGGAAGAGGTTTTGTCCTGGAGCCATTCTAATGAAACACTTAAAAGTGCCTGTGACATCAGATTTTTGTAATAAACATGAATGCATTTTTTTGGAAGGATAACATTAATAACATATTACAAAACAAATTTCATGTTGCTGAGATGAGCAGTTGTTGAGATATTTGCATGTAAAGAAACAGGAAGTGATGTCAAAGGGGGATGTCAGCATGTAAACACTGTAGAGAAGAACCTGATGTTTCTTTAATTATTTTAGTTGCTATCAAATAGAGACAGAGAAGAGTTAAAAGTTCAAATAATTTTGTTTTAATAAACAAAAACCAGCGAGTTTATTTTATTAAAGAGTTCCCCTTTGATGTCACTTCCTGTTTCACTTTGGCTGAGCCAAGTTCAAAAGAAAATATACCAATTATATGGGACAAAATGAGTAAAATCATGTGTATTATGCCAGTTTATTTAAGTATAAAGATGTTTTCAACTTTTTTGGATTTTGAAGGATAGGCATGTCAGAGGCACTTTAAAAATTGTTCTAATTGTCCTGTTGTAACCTTTATCTGAGGCCTGTAGTCTGAGAGGGAGCTCTTTGTTCAAAGCATTTTACACACCTGTTTAATTTTTTTCTAACTGTGTACCATGTGATTCAAAAACCACAGGACACTGTCAAGGAACCTGGCTGTGCCAACCATCCCAAGGGTTGGAATCAGGCCAGCAGAGCCTCCCTATGACTCCCAACAGAGAGGAGGACGTGACAGAAAGAGAGGCCACAAGAGAGACCGAGATGCAGGCCTGAGGGAAGGAAAAATCAAGAAGAAAGAGGAGTAATAAGGAGTAATAAGTATTAAGTTTGATTGATTTTAATGCTGGCAAATAAATAACAAGTGTGATAATTATATGCTTATCGCAAAGTGTGATTTAACTAATGTACTGTGATACTGATTACATGAGTGTGTCGTTACTTCAAAGCAACAAGGTGTTAACATATTAATTAGTGTGTTTACTTTGAAGCCAAGAGGTAACGATAAGAGGTCATAACTTAACAATAAGTTCATTTTKAATGGTTATTAGCCTGGGGAGATGGGATAACTCCCTTTAACTGTTCCCTTGAGACCTGCTGTCCAGGTCACTGAACATCATCTCGGTCATCGTAAGAAGTGCAGATCCTACAGATCCTAAGAGGGAGCGGCTACCATTAACGGTGGTGACCGGCTGCTGGAGGCGTCCTGGTCTACTGCGCTGATCCAGAGGCCAGGGTTCATGAAGAGTGCGGCCACTGGAAGGACGGCAGCTAGAGGCCGAGCTAAAGGCTCCCGCCCGTCTCCTGGAGGAGACACGCCGGACTCAACCACACAGGCCACCCCAGGTGGCTGTAAGTCTGGTCCATCGCCTCCAAACCAAGAAGGAGACATTGTCTCCTCTCCAAGACCCATCGGTGTCCTGGTGGGTAAACTGGAGGAGGAGCCACACAGGAAAACAACACCCTTTCATTTCATACAGAAAATGGAAAATGATGTACACTCCAGCAAGAAATGGGTGATGTCAGAACATGGCCACCATGTTGAATAAAGGTTGTCCTGTGACTTTTGACTCACCCTGTATGTTTTTCACAGTACAATGAGGGACTCCGTTGTTTGGAAATGACCTTTAACCTTTCCCGGATGCAGCAACAGTTGTCTCTCTAAAGTCCTTGCTGATGTCTTTCCAACATTGTGTTAACACAACTGAGCAGCGCCTGGCTGATATCGCTCCTAAATCCAATAGAAACATCCATCCATTATCTTTTACCTGCTGCTTCCTGTCAGGGTCACAGGTCCAGCAGTCCCAATGGAAACAGAGTGAAAGACATTTTAAAGTCAGTTTTCCCATTTTAACTTCGTTTTAAATAAATACTGACATCTGTCGTTTTGTACATTTCAGGTAAGATTTATCTGAGTTTGAAACCTGATAAGAACACAGATTATTTTATGTCTTGATGAGTAAAATACTTAAAAATAAAACACGACTCTTTCCCAGAAATGTACAAGCAAAAAAAAGGCAGGAAAAAAAACATCATTGATATAGTTTTATTCTCTTGTACATTATATATATTTATATATCATACTAAAATAAACACAAGATAAAAAAATGGACAAAGAAACTGTACAAAAAATGTTTATATACTACATCTTAATTACAGAACAGTCTACTGTCCAAAAAAGGCACTAAATTCTGAAATGAGGAATACAGTAAATCTGAACATAAGTAGATCTGAGATTGAAACAACAGCATTCAGTCCGTTTTTTTTCTGAGCTACGCTGGGATGAAGTGGATGTTTTACTGACAGACATGTAGACATGTTGACCCTGACACACCACAAGAAAACACCCCCACTTATTACTGTAGTATTTCTTTTTTGGAGAAAGCACAAATACGACTGAAGACGACTTCAGGTGGGGAAAACCTGTTTCTGGTGTCTCCAGGAAACAAGCTTTAGAGACGACTAAAACTTGTTTCCCTCACTCTACAAACATTCTGCGGAGCTCGAATACACAAAATACAATCTGGTCCTTTCCAACCGGGGTACG